GCTGGAACATACATACACACATATATTTGTATGTATGTATGTATGTATGTATGTATGTATGTATGTATGTATATGTATACGTATAGATTTCAGAAATTTCAGTTGCTGTATTTTAAAGAGCTATCCTGTCTATTCAGAATTACTCCCGTAATTACTCCCAGGTAATTCTCCAAAGAGACATTCTGATCAATGTAGAAACATTTTTAATATGGAAAAGATGTTATTTGATTTTAATTCCTCCTTAGATCAATATATCTCTTCAAACTTTTTCCTCATTTAAATCCAGCAACTGAAATTTCTGAAATCTATACGTATACATATACATACATACATACATACATACATACATACATACATACATACATACATATATATACACACATACATATACATACGTACATACATACATACATACATACATACATACATACATACATACATACAAATATATGTGTGTATGTATGTTCCAGCATAATTCTGGAACCCCTCGAGCAGTTTCAACCAAACTTGCTACACAGATGACTTACTCTCTGGAAAAAACAATGCTGTGGGGGTAAGATACCCCCAACATCCCTCGGAATGTGTGTTCTGTTAAAATACAGCCTGTTGTGCCGTAAAATGACTTCTACTGTACAGTGCAGTGGAGTTGCCCTGGTAACGACTTTATAGTATTCCACAAGGGGGTTCCGTCTGATAAGGGGGAAAATCCAACATTAGAAATTACGTTTGGTCCAGACATTTCCCCCCCTTATAAATAAATACCCGGGCAACGCCAGGTTATCAACTAGTTCTCATTAAATCATGGCCATCATCAGTTTCTTTTTAGTTTAAATTTTTAAATTTTTTGTTTGCTGCCCAGTTTCTTGGGTAGATGGGCATTTGTATAGATTTCTTATTTTCGTCTCATTTTATTTTCATCCTGCCTTTTATGTTTTGCTAATTCAAAGTAGCATATATACTTAATGTTCCCACTGTTTTGCCCCCAACAATTACCCTGTTAGGTAGGCTAGGCTGATTGAAAGGGAAATTCATTCTGCCAGCTTTCATGCCTAAGAGAGGACCAGAAGTCAAAGTTTCCTAGTCCTGGAGACAGCCACCACATCAAATTGGCACTTGGTGTGTGTATATGTATTGATTGATGGATGGATGTTCTGTGCCACAAATAGGGAACCTGTGGCTTCCCACCCCATTTCTACACTTCCCAAAGTCACCCATAAAATCAAGCACTGTCAACATAGGTTTTGGACATTTTTGCAAGGTTGACCATAGGGAAAATTCTCAACAAATTTTCTGACTACAGAGGAAGTCAGTACTTTTTAACTTCCTGTTTTCCCCAGCATAAACTCTAACTAGAACATCCTTTTAAAGTCTCCTTTGAGGGTATTTATTAAAGAATTTAACTAAGCTAAAATAATTGGAAGATTTATTTCAACTCTTGCTTTGAACTGTATACAATTCTCCTTTTATACTTGCCTTTTCACTTAGCTGCCTGTATCCTTAAAAAAAAAAAGATGCCCAATATTTTTTCTCTAGGCCTGGTGAAAAACAGGTCCTAATATCAAATGCATGGAATATTGGTTTGTATTTTAGATTTACTTGTTCATTGGCAACCCTTGACTTCCCAAGCTGAGATACTACGTCCCTCTCCCAAAAATTCAAATTCAGAAAAAGCAGAGCTACTATTTCCAGATGCTGATTAGTAAACAAATAATAGGCAAACCATCTACTGTTTTTCCACATGGATATATTGGATTAAAACCCTCATACGTTTGCCCTGGAAATGCCCCTACTCCTAATTATACAAGTTGGAGCCTCAGACAAATAACAAGAGATCACTCTCCCTCTTAAAGGTTTTTCCCAAATTGTTCTAGTCAGCCACAAAGAATACCACCAGCAAAAAACCTGCATCAATGCACCTCATTCCATCTATTTAATATCTGATGGATTATTTTGCTTAGGGAAGAGCCAAAGTGTGTGTGTGTATGTGTGTATATATATATGACTATCGGCTACTGTGGAAACGAACAGCTCCAGTCCAGACCCAATTCTCCATGCACAGCAAAATTACAACCATGTTATGCTATTATTTCTTTTTCCAAAGATTTATTTGATTTACATTCTGTCTTTCCCTTCAGAGAGGCACTCAATCTGGCAAACCTTTTATAAATATAAAACAGTATCAGCCAAAGAAAACAGGCATTCAGATCAACCTGTCCTTAAACCCTCTAACAATGAAATGTCGAAGGAGAAGCTTCTTCACACATTTTCTATATGCTGAAGGGGTAAACACTAGAGGATCTCCCAAAGGAAGACATTCATTATGACATTCTAACATTGCCCACTTTCCTACAAAGAGAAGAATGATGGGGCAGTGAAGATAGCAGAAAGTAGTGAGTATCAGTACCAGCAAGAAAAGGAGTAATCTTCATTCCAAGGGAAAAAAGAATAAGTCAACATTGCCTTGGTATCTTCAATGGCTAAGACGCTGAGTTTGTCAATCGAATCCCTAGTGCTGTGTTACGGAGTGAGCTCCCATTACTTGTCCCAGCTTCTGCCAACCTAGCAGTTCGAAAGCATGTAAAAATGCAAGTAGAAAAATAAGGACCACCTTGGTGGAAAGGTAACAGTGCTCCGTGCACCTTCGGCGTTTAGTCATGCCACATGACAATGGAGACGTCTTCAGACAGTGCTGGCTCTTCGGCTCTGAAACGGAGATAAGCAGTGCCCCTTAGAGTCGGGAACGACTAGCACATATGTGCAAGGGGAACCTTTACCTTTATTCTCATATTTAGAAGGAGTCAGCAGAATCCTAGTGTGTAGCCTTGACCAAGCGTTTTA